TCACTTTTCCTCAAAAGCGCTCTTTCACTTCATTTTCCAATCCTCCATATTAGCAGCCTTGAAATCTCCACCCTCCGCGGCCCCCCCTTCTCCGTCCTCCTCCCCTCCATCCATGTCGTTTCTTTTCCATCCCTCCCCTAGTCTCTCAGCATCCCTCTCTCCTGGGTCTTCTTGCCGTAGTGCGGTGCTGTTGGCAGCGCGTGGGCGCAGGCGGCACACAGACGGGAGCACAGATGGGCAGCAAGCTGTGCAGGGCGGCCAGGCACACCTGCTCCACACACATCCACACACACACAAAGCCTCACACAAAAATATACATGTACACGCACACACACACACACACACACACACACACACACACACACACACACACCCATGCAGGGCCCTACTCTGCCACCTCACCACACAGCCTGCCTGCCTGGCACAGTGTAATACAGGGACGCAAACACAAATACACACGCACTACTCATATAGGCTATATATGTATATATATTTATATGTATGTATATATATAAATATATATCTATGTATATATATAAATATATATGTGTGTATATATGTATATATACAGTAGTCTTACAGCAAGTAGTAGTACATCTAAACAAATTATGAATTCTGTTGCCTTTTAATAGACTTCAAGTATTACATAGTATCAAATGTTTAGAAATTTGGAACGGTCAAATTCCCTCTTTTGACATAGGATTTTTGCTTCTAGTGCAAAGAAAGCTGGCATATATAAACGTATATACACATTCAAATGGTAATAAAGACCTCTGAGGGCTGTTAGAAAAAATACACTCTTGCACAAGATTGTTTTAAAAAGAAACGCAAATATATAGTTTAGAGTTTTTTTTTTCATAAATATTTAAATAAAAGAGGAAAAAATTAAATAATGTCCAATAAAAGAGCTGAGTGAACATCTGTGTGGGATAGCTGGGGGGATTAGGAGGGTTTGGAACATTTTAAGCGCATTAAGGATTAAAAAAAGGTCAGAATGTTTAGCAACATACCGATAAACCTCTTAAGCGAAACCCAATTGGGAGGCTGTACCACGTTATCCTGTGTTTTGGGGAGGAGAGGAGAGGAGAGGGGGAGGAGTACGGGGAGGGGGAGCGGTAGAGTTGACATTTGTTCCAACAAGGAGGGGAATCAACACATTGTGGTGTTACACACATGCATGCTCGAACACATTGAAGCACACTGCTCTGATGTTGCAGTGGAGTGCATGAGATGACTTGTTGGGTTGTATGTTTATGTTGGGAGGCTGTGTGGCTCTACTGCACAGACTCAGAAATAACCACAGTTTATAAATCTGTCAGACAGATTTGACCTTGTCTTTTACTTGGGTTTTTACCCCATGTTTACAGTCAGTAGTGCATTCTACACTTGGAAGGATGGAATAGTGCATGTTCAGTCCTAGCAGCAAGCCTCTTTCTTTAAAATCCTTTTTTCTCTTTTGTTTTTGGATTTGGTTTTTAGCTTCTGTTGCTTTCCTCTGCTTTGTAGGACCAACATCTCTGTATTACTCCTAACACCTGTTGGTCAACACAATCTAAGAGGCCTCTTTGCCCAAACGCAATTCATAATTTATCAATGTAAGATGGGTCATTTGCAGTTGGTGAGTGGGTTGGTTGCATTTATTAATCATCCATCCATTATCTATATCTATTTTATCCAAGCTGAAATGTGTCAAGAGCAGGAATACACACTGGGCAAGTCACCAGTCCATTACTGAGACAAGTTAAATGAACAACACACATTTCTGCAGTCAATTAATAGAATGCAGGAAAATTGAATAAATATTGTTTGTACGTGCTGATAGAGAACCATGAGGGTAGTAAAACGTTCCTCAGCATCCTCAAAATAAATCTATCTGCACAAAGAGATGGAAGGATTGTGAGAAGGCTGTGCAGGGCACAGAGAACTGTATGTCAGAGCCATGATGAGTGGGGTTATGTTGATTGTGGGTCGTGGGATTTGCCCTGGAGTCTGTGGAGAAATTCTGTAATCAGCAACCCATGACAGCAGTCATCATTAAGCTGCAGCCACAAAAAGCCATTCCAGTTCGAAAGCAGACACTAAACATACACTAACTTCAAAAAACGTTCATATTTCAGCTTCTTAAGCAGTAATGCAATCGTGGTTTGTCGACACATGTCAAATTACAATGGCCAATATCATTATTGATAACCACTCATGCAAAGGTTGTAGGGAGTTGTAATAGCTACTCATTTATAGTTGAAAGCCTCCATTTGTACTCAACTTGCCACAACTCAAACCCAGAACCAGGGTAACCACAGAACCATAATTGATTATTCGGGATGAGAAGAAAGGGAAGACACTGATACAGACCCAAAGTTGGGATTTTTACTCTGAATTATGGTCTATTAGTACATTTATTCAAAACGAAGCGAAAAGCAGTAACAACATTTCCTTTGGATTTTGATTCAGATTGATGCATGTATCTTATTGTCACTATAAAATGTAAAAGAACAAATTAATTTATGATCCAAAGAAGCTATGTACTATTTTAGTTTGTTAAAAAACAATCAATATAATGACATCATCTCCTTGTGCCAATGAGTCCAAAAGCTAAATTCAGAAACTGGTTTTATTGCTCACTAAATTGCTTTCAAGCTGTTGCAGATAGAAATTATTTGGCACATCGAGCAACACAAGGTTTAGTTCTTCCTCTGGCTCCATTTGATACTCATGTTTATACCTTTGAACATTTATGTGTCCAGTAAACTTGCATATTTGCAATCATTATGGCATTCATTCATTAATCTAATTAAATAAAGGAACACCTTTTTTTATCAATCTGGTGACCTGTCCAGGGTACATCATGGCGTTCACCCAGTGACTACTGGGAAACTAAATCTGGTCAATTCGTACAGTAAGTGTGGCTAAATCTAATGGGAGTGTGAGTTCCTTGATCAAACCTCTGAACCAAGCTCAAAAAGGTATATCAGCTTTTCAAGAAAACAGTGCCCTAACTTCTTTATTAAAAAAAAATAAAAGCTTAAGATGCATTTCAATGGTAGCAGATCTGTGATTTGAGCATGATTTCAAAGCCAAATTGTCTGATGTCCATAAATTGTTGCATTAAAAGTATGTGTTCATGACTGTGCCTTGTTTGTTGGATACATTGGAGTCATCTTCAACTTTAAGGGAAACCTAATGTGTCACATTGCTAATTAATTGTTTAATTGCTAATTGTTTAACCTAAATTATGCTTAATTCAGAGACATGTGATGGCCTCTTTCTGTCTGATAAACACTGATTATCCCACCCATTGGAAATTCATTACAGTGGAGATGATGGCACAGGAATGTTGGAAACATAATGTTACAGGCTGATAATTGTTCATTTGTATGATTATAATTGTCCACACATTGCGAATACCCCTAAAGACATCCTCTCGACCACTGCTGAGGTCATTAACATAAATGACAATTAAAAAAAAAACAGGCACAGCTTGCTTCTTGTGTACATCACCAGGTCACACTTTGGATTATCTATGCTCGTTGTATTTTTTATGTTATTCAACATACTGGTTTGAAGGAACCTCTGAATTGGCTGAAAGATTTGAGGTTAGAAATGGGAATGGGAATGCTGGGGGTGGACGCAGCGGGGCGTCTGAACGAGGGGGGGGCTGCAGGACTCTGATTGGGGTCGCTGAAGGGAGGGCTTTAGGGGGCTGCTGTAAGAAGATAAGGGCTGGATGTGTGGTTGGGAGGCTGGGCGGGGGGAGGAATGGGGGCTTGTGGCTGCTCTTGTAGCCTGCAGCTTGCAGAGCTGTGATAACCAGCAACTAGACCTTGGTCTTACCTCCCTCTCACCCTGTCCTCCTCACTTCTCCATAAAGCTGTATGATGCACTGCTGAACCCAGTAGAACCCATTTCTAGGGAGTGATGTGTTATAAGCACAGTGTCAGTTTGCTGAAGTGCCTGAGATGAGGAACAATAAATATTCAGGAGCCTATCCTGGCTGTCATTGGGCAAAAGGCGTGGCCCACCCTGGAAAGGTGGCCTAGGGTTTGTTCACATGGAGACAAACCATTCACTTTCACACTGATGAGTTTAGAGTAACCAGTAACGTGGATGTTTTTGAACAGTGGGAAGAAATGTGAAAAGAGATAACTGAAGAATAATTGTTCTGTTTTCTTCTGCAAGACATAAAGTTAATAAATCCCAGCCATCTGAAGGCGAATGGAGATGGGACACAAGTCAAACAGTGTCAGTGGAGGGATTTTTCTATTATATGGTTCATTACAATCAAACCTCAAATGTATTGGGTTTGAAAAATTTTGATTTTTTAGATTAAAATCTCAAACTTATAGTTAATTTTGGCTTTTTTTATAAATAATACCGTTAGCACCAACAAAGTAGGAAAACGTTGCATCTGAAAGGGTCTGATGATGACAATTCTATGATGTGGGAGTTCTTAACACATTAAAAATACGTTTGTCCTATTCCTGAGATCAGTCAAACTGTTTATAGCAGTACTGCAAGTGTATAAGGTTTATCCATGCAGATTAGAATCTGAAGGTTTTCTTGAGGTCTTGCAAAGCTTCATAGCTTGAAATAATGCTCGATTGGGTGATCGCTCTCGAGCACACGAGAGACACCGAACGAACCCTTTTATATTTTACAAGAGTATGTGTGATGTCCATCCATTTTTTCGTACCGCTTATTCCCAACAGGGTTATGCATGATGTGAGAAATATTGTGTTTACAATAATGTAGAGTCCACTGGTGAAATACTGCATGATGGTAAAAACTCTAGTGAAGGTTGTTTTCTTAACAGCTTTCATTGGCCTTCATATATGTTTACTCTGAATATGCACCTCAGTGTTGATACACGTATGAGTGTGTGTTTAAATATGTCTGAGTGCGTGTGCTGCGGGGGCCAAAGCCACGTATGTTTGGAGCGAGTGCTGTCAGTTAGCTGGAATGTGGCACTACCGCCAATGCTAAGATGGCTGCCAAGCTCTAAGATGGCTGCCAGGATTACACCCCATTCAGTGAGAGACACAGAAGAGCGAGAGATTCTGCAAGAGAAGTTCTTTTTCGTTTCTGTGCTCTTTCCTTCCTTCATTCTTGCTCTCGTCTGTCTCGCCGCTCTCTCTGTGGATAAGCGATGTGTCGTAGGCAGCGAGACAGGTCTGTTATTGTTTCTGCTCAGTAATCTGTGGCTTAGTGTGGCTGCAAGGCAAGTGCTGCTGGCAGGAATCTGTGTGCTCTGTTATCACCTACAGCCTACAGATAAACACCTCCTCTAAGTAGCATGCTAGCTTGCTACAGCTAGCGCTGCCTGAATGGACAAGCATCAGTCTCCAATACATCACCATTCCAGGAAACGGCGATCGAGTCCGTTTAACAAACCCCTTCTTGATAAGAAGAGATGGGGAGTGAATACAGCTCCCCATCCTGTGTTACATATCTTTAAACAGATACATAGACACATGATATTTCTTCAACTCAAAAAATGTGCCCCTCTTCGTTTAAGCCAACTGCTCTCAGGAGGACTCGTGCAGCTAAACCTCACTCTGAAACCTCCTCATTCAGCCAGCTGTGCCCTAATTGTACCCTTGCATTGCCAAGATTTGACATGTTTGTGTCTACTTTGTGACAAAAGTCCTAGTCCTTTCATGGATCAGTCACAACAGTCAATTTTGAGAACGGTTTCTTTCTGCAATACAACCCAAGAGGGATAGCTTTGCATTGACCTCTTTGGTAACGCCAAACTCCTATGGTCTGAGGGTGTCTGTATACGTGTCTTAACGCAAGGATTGCTGTATATATTGAACCATGAAATTTTGGGAGAAACAAATTGAGAAAGTGCACATGTTTGTACATGTTTTGTGTGAGGTGCTGTGTTTATTCAGACTAAATCCATCATGGTAAGAAAATATTAAAAGGGATTAGGATGAAGGACACAATTGCTTGGTTAGATACTAAATGCCGTAACAGCTCACTGTAAATAACCGCCCCTTGATTTTGAAGGGACAGGCAGGGTATGAGACTATTCTTAAGCACGTGACTGTCGCATAAAAATGTGTGAATTCACAAAGGCACGCATTCATAAGATGTGTACCATGCACTGGCACAAATTGGAAGTCGCTCTTCAACCCTCTCACTCCTCAAATATCACAGTGGTAGAATCACGAGCACATAACTATGACTTACAAAAACATAGCCTTGGTATAATTGTCAGGATGCCATTTATTATTTTGTTTAGAATGCAAACCAGATAATAACTGTTTTTCATAGTTTTTTTCTTCCTCTCATTTGTTCCCATGTAGAATCTGGACAATCAGACAGCTCCAGCCAACAGGGAGACACAGACATCAAACCACCACCCAATGGTAGGTACACACCACGCCCGTGGACATCCATTCCCCAAACACTCACAAATCACATATACAATTACTTTTCATCCATAATTTTCTTGTCATTCTATCAGTTTATATTCTAATTATGGATCCAATTAACAAACACCCTCACACAGGTGTTAATCCATAAACAGTTTTGCAGATGGTCACCCTCTCAAAGGCAGTTAAAAAGAACATCACAAGCTAATGATGCTTCTGTTTTCTTTTTGGGAGAGAAGGGGAGTTATTGCATAAAGTCCTAGTCAATTTAATTTTCTTTACAGGGCACCTGAGTTTTCAGGATTGCTTCGTCACCTCAGGAGTGTGGAATGTGGCGGAGCTGGTCAGAGTCTCACAGAGTAAGGACATTTATAGAGAAAAAATTGCTTAAATGCCTAAATTCTACAAAAACATTGCTGTTTCTATTCTGCAATCATTTTCTAAATGTAGTTGTTTGAGTGATTTGCACAGAACAATTTAATTTAGTGTTTCGAGAAAATATATTCGATACCTTTTTATGGTTTATTTTCTCTTTCTTGTCTCTCCTAGCCCCCGTAGCCACAGCATCAGGGCCTAACTTCTCACTGGCTGACCTGGACAGCAGTCCCAGCTACTACAACATTAACCAGGTGGCTCTGGGGCGACGCTCTCTCACCTCTCCTCCTTCCACCAGGTAACAATCCTGCCATTGTTTCCACACAGAGATCAATGGTATAGAGTGTACAGTGGTGTGTATTACACATTATGGAGGCTTTAACAAGAGGAAAAGACCCAGTGCATAAAGCAACCTTGTATATCCATTCATTCTGCTTTGGTCACAAAGGGCAAACTAAAATATGCCCTACTTTCAATCATACTACACTTTAAATTGTATAGTATACAAGAGGGGCCAAACTTATCAGGAGATATTCATAGAAGGGTACAACCAAGAAAAAGTATCTAGAGGAGTTATGAGTCCCAAAGGTGACAAATAGGGGGAAAATGTATTAATACAATTATTGGGTATTGGACTGAAAAGAGTAATATTCTTTTAGAGCTTGATTCCAATTCATTTAGAGATGATCAACAGACTATCACTTACATTAAATATAATAAATACAATACATAAAGTACACACAAAAAAACATAAACATATATTTAGCTTAGTTTATTAGCAGTTAAGTAACAGATTTGTCAGATTAAGTATAAAGATATAGGTGAAAAATAACTTTCAGAATCCAAAGATCAACTAAACGTTGGCTAAAAATGGGTCGTGCAGATGGATTATGTTATCAGTCATTGGCAAATCTACATTAGAATGGCTTGGAGAAAATGTAATCATCATCCATAGTGAAAAAAAAATACTTATGAGCAGAAACACAATTTTTTCCATACCATGAGCCACTAGTAAATTCATGTAAATGTTCTAGTTGTGAAAATCATTCAGTTAAAATCAATAATGCTTCGACAAACCATGGATTCCATCCATAATAGATGTTTACTTTAGTGTACTAGCTGAGAACCCACATTTAATGGTGGATGAACTCAGCAGTTATAAGAAGGAGCAGAGACATAAAGGTTTGGATCAACAAAGTATTTATTTCCACCTGAAAGACACTAAATATTGAATAAAGAATTTCTTAGTGTTTTTTTTCCTTTACAAAGAGCATGCTTTGCTTTCCAAACATTACTGGACAGAACTTGTGGTGCCACTAGGTTGTCAGAATTAGCGGTAAGACCCCTTTGAATCAAATACTTCAGCAAGGAAGTAATAGGAAACCTTTTCAGCTCTGAATTCAAAATGAAACTAAAAAGTATTGATAACTGCAGTAATTAAATGTTGTTTTAGCACTTCTCTTACATGGTGTCTTACTTAATTTGTCATACAAGAAAAATGTTATCCTATCTTTTGTTATTTCTTAGTATCCCAAGCTGTCTGCTGTCAAATTACAAAAAATATGCCTCAGCACTGATATCATCCTGTCCAAATAAACCTCCACCAAATGCTCACAGTTCTCAGGGAAGTAATCGCAACCTTGTCAAGTGTCAAATTCCACATAAAATATTTTCTTCAGAAGTAAATAATGATGTATTTACCATTGAAATGTCCACAGCAAACTTCTTGAAACAGAAAACAACTACTTAATCATATTTCCCTTTTGAAAAAAACAGGAAGTAGAAAAGTGGCCCTGTATGTCCAGTTTCCCTAAACACACACGGTGCCAGCCACAAGACTGCTCCCAGTCTTTGAACCTCTTTATATAAGTATGTGTGCGTGTTAGCTGCTTTCCTCTGTATGAAGGTGTGATGGCTTTCTCTGCTTTTTTCCTTTGTCTTCCTCTTTCTGTCTTCTTACTTCTGTCATCTGCTGTCACTTTAGGTCTGAAGTGGAGTTGTACGCAAACCTTCCACGGAGGTAGTGATAAACACCTAAAAGATACAAATTACTGAGACAAACGCACATTCAAACACAGACACAAACACCTGTTCAGAGTGCTGTTTGTGGCTTCTTAGTTGTCTAACTTTTCTTATTCCTCCTTTTTACATTTAATGTTGTGGCATCTCATGTGTTTCGTCTGTTCAGCTCTAAGACTACAGAAATATTTCTGATTTTACTAATGTGCAATAATCTTGGCTCGTTTGTATGATCACCATTTAAGTTCATGGTTTCCAAATTGCGTGTCTCATTCCTGAACCAAGCTATTCCTGCTGAGATATATTTTTAGGAACATCAAAACATATCTGCCCTTCTCCTTTGTCCCTCCACCCATACTTCTCCAACCCAATATCCTCCCATTATCTCAGCTCCACCAAGAGGAAGTCCTTAGATGACAGTGAGCTGGAGAGCCCCACAGACGATGTTTTCTACCCTGGACGTTCGCCTGCTGCCAGCTCTTCCCAGTCCAGCGCATGGCCCAGTGACATGGACGCAGGTATCCTCCCATCCCACCCCACACATGTCACCCGCTATGCAAGCATCATTAAGCTTCTGCACCCTTTTGTCCCTACCCACACCCATTCACACTCCCAAACCCAATCAGCTGCCATCACGTTTGGTGATGCACACAGCCCGGAGGACCATTCAGAACTTCCAAATCACCTTAAAACCCCTTCTCTTGAAATCTTGTGGCATCATAATCATTCCGTTTAGAAAAACAGAAGCACGATCAACACTCTTAGTGTAGCTAATATTACAGGGATTAACTAAATTGACTTGGATCAACCGATGTAATTCTCAAGCTATAGGAAGCCAAAACAATTAAGAAATCCTTTAAATGACATTATTCTCATAGTTATGACAGCACCCTCTTCCTTCATACTCAGTTTATCCTCCCAACTTTGTTATTTTATCTTATCCATCTGACCACCAGTAACTCCAAGAACCCACCACATCTCCTTACCACCCATTTGTTTAATTTAAAGGGTTCAGATTTCCTCATCCTCACCTTTGAGCAATAACCATGCATAAAGTCAATCTGATGTTGTGCACATGATTGATCATTCACTCCCTTGATCATATACAGATTTTCACTCCCGAGTCTCACTTGTTCCCACCTACTCTCTCCCTCATCTCATACTGTCTCTCACTCTTCGCCTATCTCATTGTTAACAATACCCTTCTTCACTTTCAGTGCAGCACCATTTGGCGAGTGTGCAGGAGAGGAAGATAAAACATGAAAACGATGGCGTGCAGTTTCCTTACCATGGTTAGAACAACATTGATTACACTCATATCTATTGACTATTTACCAGCGTTTATGAAGCATAGTTATTCCACTTTGTGTGTGCGTGTGTATGTGTGTGTGTATTTTCTTGTCTTTTATATATTTGTGATACTTGTATATAGCCATATTTTGCAGATATACGTATCATATTTGTATTTGAGAAGAAATTTAGTGAAGACAAGGACGGTGCTAATGACTTTTGATGTTGTCTGACCTACATTTTCGCAGGCCTTGTTGACTGTAAATATATTGTCTGTTATGTACAGTGGCAGGACTGTTAAAAATGATCCAGCTAAAGCTGTTTATGTGTGAAACTTGGGGCCACAATTCGCTTTCCTCGCATTTCTGGTTTTATCTCTCATAACTGTGGTTCTTTAAATGTTTTGTCACTTTGCCTACAGCCACCTTCACTCGCTGTACCCATTCTGGCTCTGGCGTACACAAACTTGTTCAATGACTCGCTCATATTTACACAGACAAGCGCACTTATCCTTACACACCCACACGTACGTAAATAGAGGTCCCACACACGGCGAATCACAGCCCCCTCACACTCCCTGGTTAAACACCGCAACACACATGCTTTTCATACTCCTCCACCCCTGCAGGTGTTCACCGTCCCTCAGCCGTTCACTCAAATCCCTTTCCAAGGCACTTCTGTTGATCAGAGATGTAAAGCCCATCCTCTAGCTCCCTGGCTCTCCTTTTAGCTCTCCATCCATGTCTCCCCTCAGTCTAATTGAAAATGTGTGCATCAGGAAGGGCCCTGTGGAGGGAGAAACATGTCAAAGCAGAGAGGGGGGTGAGAGGAAACCAGAAATTAGGCAAAAAAAAAAAAGTGGGCAGTGCAGAAGGGGATAGAGTTGAGAGAGGAAGGCTTTGGTGTTCTCAAATGGTGATAGCTGATGACAGAGACGGCTTAATTAGAGTGTGAAAAGAGGGGCCAAGAGTCTTGGTTAGGTTTTTGCCACAGTCTATACTCATTTGAGCCTTAGCGGCTGCTCCACTTAGCTATAAATGTAATTAAGAGGCTGCTCATCAGAGCCACAACAGAGGCTCATGCTCACCTTTATGCATCAGAGCTTCCTTCTGTCTCCTTCTGTCCCTGGACCTTTGGTGTGGTGTATATCTGAATTTCCTAATAATCCCACCTGCCACTGGCACATCTCTTCTGGGAATCCTGCTCTAGTGGGGGGTATGTAAACAAGTAAGCACTCACACACAACGCACACACATACAAACAAATAAACCGGGGGACCCGCAGGCGTGCTTTAGACAACCCCTTATTGCCCCCTACTTTCTTCTGCGCACACATCGTGAGACGAACACAGATGTTAAAAATGCATTTATACATATAAGTCAATCAAACAAAGTCATCCTCAGATGTACACATGATAGATTTCTGCACACATGTCACACAGCTCAGTCAGACACACACACACACGCATGCACAGCTGAAGCATGGTCCCAGATGGTGTTTCCTTGTGTGTGTAGCCTTGGGATCCATGATGTTGCCGGAGACAGCTGCTCCACAGGGCTGAGGAGGGGTAGGGGAGGTTGGAGGACGCAATTGAAATAGCCATGATTTCATATCAGTCCCTAATGATTGTGAAATTTTCCTGAGGAACCAGATACTTGTGGTAGTGAGGGCCTTACTCTGAGCTTTGACCTCGGTGTTATATGCCGTCAGAGTGGCCGAGCTAAGCTTCCAGTAACAGAGATATTTAAATCACTCATATTTAAAAACTATTCTCTACTAACTTGTGTATTCTCTAAACACTATCCCTTGTCTTTTCCAACCGTGTGTGAGTGTGCGTCTGTGTCTTCTTCAGAGGCGCATCTGGTGGCAGGCCTGTTAGTGCAAAGAGACAGAAGGGTCATCATGGGAACGCTTGATTAGTTGCCAGTGAAATTCTAATGCTTGCCAGAAAAGGAAACAGTGCAGTTTTACCACACGTACACACACACACACACACAGACACACAAACATTCTCTATCAGACCACTAAGCAATCTGCAACATCCTAAAATATTGTCTATAACAGCTCTCTCACTGACTGTGATAATGCCGTGACTTCCCAAATATACTGATGTTAATGTTTTGATCTCATGTTTCACGGCTTTTGATTGTGCACTTAAGATTAATTTTACTCTCCCAAATTAAATTTGCATGATTGCTTCACCTAAACCATTATGGCTTAATATACAAAGTTACGTCTGTTCCAGATTTCTTCCAAACTTAATTTTTTTCCCAGCTTTCCCCTCCAGTGCCTTTTCATCTCTTATTTCCACCTTTCTCCCACCAGTGTGACAGTGTCATAGCAATCACTGCTAACTGCTGGTGTCAGAAGTGGGATTGGGGTTGTTTTCATGCTTGGAATCTCTCTGACAGTACAATACGCCCCCAGACTCCCGCTACAGTTGGGGGGTGAGGGGTGTGTGTGTGTGTGGGGGGGGGGGTTATATATCTGCTAAAGACATAAATGGTTCACACGAATTCACTCCCACCTGCTTGAGACTTAACTCTTTCACACAGGGAGGGAAGGTTTTACACGCCCCCACACTCCCATAGACTTTCACACGTCTCCAGCTGGAGAATTGAGGAGGAATCGTATTTAATGCCTTGTTTGATGCGGAGGGGCCACAGAAATAGACTCCCAAACAACAGTCCAAAAAAAGTTTAAAAACAGAACAGTATCACACATATCCACTTTGTACGGAAGATCAGAACAAAACTTATGGGAGAAAGATATTTGTCTGTTGTTGCATCAATTATATATGTGGCGGCCTTTTGCGCGGCATTCAGATGTGTGTGAGCGTGTGGGCGCGAGAGATAATAACCATATTTAACATCTTATGACATTCCAATTTCATACATGTTGTCAGAGCAATGCAATGATGAAAAAAAAAAGACACTGCTGCATTTTTCACAGGTTCTGCTTTGCTCTCTTGCTCCCTCGCATATTTTCATGTCTCCCATATTCTTCTCGCTTCTCTCCCTCTGTCGCCTCTCTCTGTCCGTCTGCTTGTCTTTCGCACTCAGCATCTGCCGCGTCCATACTGTACAGTGTGTGCTATTTCTGAATGAAGCTGTCCTCTCGCACAGTCAGCTCGTGAGCTTCGCCGAAAGCCAGACCACAACTAGTTGGCTGTGGCTGAATGGTGGCCATGCTCGTACACAGAGAAACCCTAAAGTTGGCACCTGGAAGAGAGAGAGAGAGAGCAAGAAACAGCAAGAGATGAGACAGAAAAATCATTCAGTGGCACTGTAGAGATTATTATAGCTACAGATGTTATTTGGCAACAAAACAAAGACCATATTCAGTTTGAATTGAGCTTTTCTCCCCCTTTTTTTCCCCTTTTGAAAACATACTCTAAGGTTATTGAATAATTTCCTGCCCATACTGAAGGAAGTTGGATTCCTAAAGTCCCTTGTTCCTAAAGCAACGAATGATCATCTCTTGAATAGCTGTCGTCTTTATGTCTTCCTAATGATCATCTGCAGACTCCTCTGCGAGACTCATTGACAGTGGCCACCTTCCAAAAAGGACACAGAACAATGTATTGTCATCAGAATAGTCAGATTGAAATAAATCATGATTATTCTGGTCCCCTTCAACCAAAATCGAACTGCAGCTAAGTAAAGAGCAACATTTTATTGATTAAAACCAACTCTCTCTTTTCCTCCCTTTTACCCCCATTTTTTTATTTATTTATTTTTTTGTTGATCCCATTTTTTTCGTCAGGACTGTCCTCGCCTGGTTCACTTAAGAAGCCGGGGAAGTTTGATTTCAACGCCCTGACTTCCCAGACGAGGTCCCCCCGTATGGCGTTCACACACCACCCGCTGCCTGTGCTGGCAGGAGTGAGACCAGGTGAGAGCCCTGCCATGAACCCAACCACCCCCCCCCCCCACCCCCCCTTTAATTATCTGAAAAAGAGAGAGAAGGAAAGGGAGTGTTTAACTTGAACCTGGATTGCCAGGTTTATGGCCCATCAAAGAAAATATTTTAAAAAACAGCAAATACCTCAGTTCTGTGCCTGAAAAATCCACTTCCTTGCTGAGAAAAGCTAAGGAAAACTTTCCAGTCCTACAGTTGCAACTGCTGAGTGGCAACATGCCTGCAGAGTTTCACCTGCTCAGTGTTACCGCTGTCATCATGGCTTGGCATAAAATCCTCTCTCTCTCTTTCAGCTTGTCTCCATCCATCCATTTTTACCACCATCTTTTTTGCCTGTGTTTTTAATATTATCATTGCATGGTACCAATGCTGCATCCATGCCTTTGTGACTGATTTTACCTCACATCCTACTGCTTCATGCATTTGTCATGACGTTATTATCTTGCCTGGATGCAGAAACTGAAGCAGTCAGACACACTGAATTGTTTCTGGTATAGGGATAAGCAAGGCAACAAAAACAAATATAAATGTTGCAATCGGGGAATATTTTAATGTATTTTCTTGCACACAATCCTGATGCCATTTAACCATTTGAAAGACACAACTGGCTCTCTCTTTCAAGAGAGACAATGCTTTTTTAAATAGGAAGAAGCAAGAAAAAGAAAACATCTTTTTAAACAATATTTTAACCCATATGGTCGCAAAAATTATGACTGTATTCGAAAAGCCTTCGGTATTTCTACATTTTTGCTTCAGTAGATTCACAGAGGGCAAGTTGTCCCCCTAAGACCTTTTCGGTCTGATAGGATAACCAACGTGGTTTTTCCGTCTCCAGTAAAAGAATTCCCAGCGTCTCCAGGATCTTTAGTTTGCCAACAAGTCCCTGTAGATTGGTCTCACTTTTCAAAGAAATAAATATGTCCTCTCTCCATCTCTCCCACTAATTCCATTTGTCTCTCAGAGGGATGGATTGGTACACAGCCAAACCAGACCTGCCATGCAAAGGTCATTGTGGACTCATTGCCCAACATGTTGGGATTTATTGAATGTTACTTGCAGTGCTCCCCAAGCAATCAAGTATATTTCGAAAATGTAGCGTTGTGTGGATAATGCATAATTAACAACAGGCAAATGGCGTCAGATATTCTCCAGAATCATAAACACCTAATTGAATTTTGCCTTCCTGTGTATTATGTAGAAAGTATCAGCGACTATCTCCCCTTTCTTTGTTCCCCGACTAACCTCAGAGTCTCTCCTAATTGTGTGTGAACTGTGAGCCATGAGGTTTTCATGTAATGGATATGTCGTAATGAGACAGTATTCAGAGATTGTGTCTTACACACGAGGCTAAACGCTTGCATGCAAGAGTAAATTTACACTCTTGCAGAGGATTCTCTGAGCAAAAATGGCTGCCATCCAAATGAGCTGTCCCTCTGAGGCCTTGGTTCCATAACGAGGCGGAGGAATCATGAAAGGGAGGGCAGAAGAGAGGTATAAAAAGAGAGAAAGCGCTTGATGGAGTTTAGGAAGAACCAGTTAAAAAAGTTTTGTTGCATACCTCTGGATGGATTAGAGCTGTTAGCTGTTGTGGGGTTGTGATTGCTGTCAGAATAACCACAAATTACAAGTTTACAGTGTTAGCCTTTGTGGCTGAAATCTCTCTCTCTCACACACACACAAGTACGCACACACATCGATACATGAAAAAACACTTTAAAAACATTAGAAACACTCAAAATTCACCTGCACACAAAAGCAAATAGACAATCCAACCCCGACATACAAAGACAGGGACTCCACACACAAAAAACAGAAGTACTTTGTGGGTACAAAATACACAAGAGATAGTAGGTGACAGACATAATCACAGATGCTTGTTCGTTAGACTCCCCTCACCTAGCAGCTTGCCTCTTTAGTTAAGTGAGCCAAATTGCCAAAACCATGGAATCACCACAGTCAAGGAAGACAGAGCAGCCTGTTGTCTGTGTGTGTGAGTCTTTGTGTGTGTGTGTGTGTGTGTGTGTGTGTGTGTGTGTGTGTGTGTGTGTGTGTGTGTGTGTGTGTGTGTGTGTGTATATGTGTATGGTTGGTTGGCTGGCTGGCTGAGTAATGTCTCTGGGAGGTGTTCTGTGGTCAGTTGGGAGCAGAGGGGAGATTGTCTCTGAAGGTTTAAACTGCTGGGCTGAACCACACAGCAAGAATACGCTTCTGATTGATTACGCATCACTGGAAAGCAATAAAACAAATGTGGAAAAAACTCAGCGAGTGAGGCTTTCTCGTGCACGGGCGACTAGTCTATGTGTGGGTGATAGCGAGAGAATATGAAGATTAAACAGAAGGCGGAAAATACTGTAACATGTTTGCGAGTATGTGGCAACGAAAACGTGTGCTTGCATGTGTAGCGATGCAAGGCATGCCAGAAGTTTGGTGAAATCTAGTGAGCCGATTTATAAAAATGAATCACACCAGATGTTGCCCCGTAGACAAGGATACTGCCAGTCATTTGTAAGCAGGGACAGCTTCACTCAGTCGACAATGAAGAATTCACAGCTATTTTTTCTTTGTTAGCGTGATAATAAACCTTAATGACAACCTGGTTGTAACCAGCCAGCTGTTTTGAGCCTAAATGAAACATATGCAGGTCTTTAGTGCTGCCACAGGTGTGCATGTTACCGAGTATTATCCAGACGGTTACATACACTGTGTTGTGTTTGATGAGAAATATCAAAGGAGGAACTAAACCTCATTATCTTTTTTCCACTCCTTTCCATTGTTCTTTCCTGTGGCTTTTCTTTTTCTCAGGGAGTCCCCGTGCCTCAGCATCAACCCTGCACTTCCCTTCCTCCTCGATCATCCAGCAGTCCAGCCCATATTTCACCCACCCCACCATACGCTACCATCACCACCAGGACCCGCTTAAGGAGTTTGTGCAGTTTGTGTGCACCGATGGCACCGGACAGCCCAGTGCACAGGTAAGTCATTTACGCTTTGTTCAAAGGAAAGATGGGTTACCGCCGGATACTGTACTACAATAGAATGCAAGGCTGATGCCAAAAAAAAGTGATTATTGTGGAAAGACCAAAACATAAAAAAAGATGGAAAACTACATCTTCAACAAGGTTAAGGAAGCCAACATTCACACATTTGAAGTCTCCGTAAAGTTAAAATGGTTTAGCAGGGAAGTTTTACAGAGTAAATTATGTCTACAGAAAAAAGGCAGCCAGATGTGCTTCCACAGGAAAGAGAATAAATACATGGAAAATAAACTCAGCTGGGGAGAAATTATAGTGGAGGAAGCCAAATTACCTTTTGACTCATCACAGGTTTAACATATTTCATAACACTGTGCCTCCTACAGTTGGGCTGTGGGAGATCTTGCTTGTCATGTGAGCAGAGTCGTAGAAAAATGACCGGTCTGAGGAAGACTAGCAAATCGCATTGGATCTACCACTTGTACACACGTCATGGTTTGTGCTTTTGTGAAATTGGGGTCCATACAATGAATTCCAAGCTGATATGGAAGAATGAAGGAGCACGATTACTCATCTGCTCCTGCACCTCCTGCCTGTTTTTTCTCTTTAGTTATGTTCCCATCCTCCCAACAACAGTGTTGTCTCTAGAAGTATTGTATCTATTGTCTTGGTAGTTTGCAATATATATTCTGTTTGAAAGCTGGGACCGGGTGAATGGTAGAATCAGAGGAACCAATAATACAAAAAAATGTATCCGTACATCAGAGTTAGCCACTGGGACAAGTTATCAACTGCATAAGGCAACTGAAGAATATCCGTCCTGAAACACAACATGTGACAGACGAAGTGTCCACTTGTCAATTAGCAGGAAACTAAATGCCAAAGCAGACTGGAGCAGGAGGGGTGTTTCTGGGACATGGAGTGCTAGGGGTCTACTTTAGACAGATTTTAGTTAAGGCGGACACCACTTTGAGAGCCCCAAGTGTCGAAACTCAGCATACTCGGCTGACTATCAACTGGCCTTTGAGGGTTGTTTGTGAACTTTTTAATACAAATGAACCAAAGTGTTGTACTGTAAACCTCTACTGTAAACTTGGCCTTTTGAATCCACCAACATCAAGCCGTTTCTTCATGTGCTATTATCTTTTGTTCTCATCGCTTAACATGCCGGACATATTTTGAATTTTCTCCCACATTTTCCATGTGCAAACACTCTCACAAGCAAAAACAGGCACCACTTGCACATTGCTGACTTTTTCTTTCAATATTTGAATTCTCACATTCGACTATAACTTCTTTTGACAACTCTTTTATTATCTGACAAGGACACTCCTTTTTTTCTTTTGCCCATTTGTTTGACAATTTATATCACTTTTACTTCCTGTTGACTTTTCTTTCAAATTATAATTCGTTGTATATTTTGTTTCATATTTTTAACGCAAGGGTGTATGTATGATTGTAACACGTCTATGATTGTGTGCATGCTTGCCTTTGTTTAACATGTGTGTGTTTTGAAATTCTGCCTATTCTTCAGTCACCTCACCATACAAAAAAAAAAAAAGATAATGTCTACGTGACATTATGTGTGTGTGCGTGGCTCCCTGTACACTGTATGATTTTGGGGTGTGTACTGCTCACCCTGTCTGTATGGTCCATCTGCAGCCTAATGGAGGTGGCCAGAGCAAAATGCCGGGCTCCTTCCTGCTTCCCCCGCCACCCCCGGTGGCACGCCCTGTGCCCCTCCCCATGCCCGACTCTAAAACCATCAGCACGCCCACTGACGGCGGACTCAGCTCACCCGCATCTCCGTGTAAGTCACCCCCAACTCCCACTCCCCTCCACAAACCCGCATTAATGCCCCAGTCGCCCCCAAGACTTTTCATAAAGGCCAGTCAGAGACCATAATGGTAGAAACTTTATCCGTTATATATCCAACTGCAGATGTAGCCATCATAGAAGTCCCTGTGTTTATGTGCAGCGTTGCCCCGCTGGGTCGGTCATCTTTAATCTTGCGGTTTGACATTCGAGCATGGACCGGGGACATCTATCATGGCTACCGCTGTTTTTTTTTTGTTTTTTTTTTAAGTAAGGTCCACGATAGATTTTCATTATGGTTCAATCTGCTCAGTCAAACACTGAGGGGGTTCACTCCTGTTTCATCCATTACCTTATGGGCTATACACAGCTGTACTGTACCAGTCGAGTGCAGCCATACTGTTAAAGAAGAAACCACGCCTTTGCCAAGCCAGAGACCCTCCTCCAAGTTCCTCTGCAGCCCCTTTCAGACATGATATTTATTTATTAGTCTATCAAAACAAAAGTAGTTGGTCATTGACACATGGCAGACATAGATTCATCAATGGAAAGGCACATTATTTTTTCCTCCTCCCTAAATTGTACAGCACATTAAGTGGCATATTTCATAAAACAGCAACTCATACTCCGTTGAAAACTCCTAGCCGTCTATATAGTGTTCTGTGAAAGTGTATCACATACCAGCATACCTTCAATTGGATTCTACAAGGGATACGTTCCATGATGTGTTTGGTTTTTTTAATCAACACAAGAAAACATACGACATTTAATTTCAACAGGGGGACACAGCTATCACTGTTGTCTCTTTGCTGTCTGCCATTTTACCAATTGATTTGGCTCAAACGCACGTGCTGTACCAAATATTGCTATTGCTATTTATTTATTTATTAAGTAGAATTTTTCGTCAGACTGTACTGCCGTGCTTACAGGTCAGTTAGTGTTGAGTTAAATGTCATATTGCCGATGACGGGTAAAAATGCCAACGTCTGACTCAATAAAACTGCTCAAATTTGACATCAGATTTATGAAAAGCAACACATGTCTGAAAGGGGCTTGTAACCCTTTGCTCTATCTCATCTCTAAAGCTCAGTCTTCTTTCCTCGCTCCATGGCTTTGCAAACCACCTCGGCCTCTGTCCTGCATCCTGTCTCTCACCCCTATTCAGAGTATTTTTTTTTTCTCTCTCTGGTGTTGGATTTCCTCCTGGCACCACAAGAGGCAGTGCAGTTTATCTTCTTTCGTTTGTGGATGTGTTCTGTAGTTTGCGAGAGCAGAGCTCAGCTCTGTCTCCTCTGTCGCTGTACGCTTTTGATCAATGCAGACTGCATGTCTGTCCGACAGCGGCAAAAACATTCAACCCCCGTCTCTCATTTCTTCTTTTCTTTGTTTTATATATGCTCATGCCCTCTTTTCTTTGTTTCCTTTTTTCCTTTATTTCTCTCTTTTTCTTTTTAAAGGAACAAAATTAGGGCAGTTGGCGTGGACTCCAAAAAAACAAAAAAAAAACATGATGCCCCACTTTACCTACGCAATCCCCTCGCCACTTTCACACAAATCTCACAACAATTAAGAAAAAACTGAGAACAACAAAAAAAAACATGAAAGTCACAGTATATCAAAAAACAACCTTAACACGAATAATAGAATCCAATCAAACATGTCTAATTAGTGCTATACTGGGGGAGCGGGAGAGAGGAGTGCAATCAGAGAGCGGTGAGGCTTTGGATGGTTCCACCCACACAGGTGCGGTCCAAGAGTCGGGTCATGGGAGAGGCACACCAAGAGGGCCCACTGGATGGAGCAACCGGGGCCCCTTCTCCTTCTAACTTTTTTTTTCTCCTCCTTTCCTGTCAACTTTCCCTCCTCTCCCTCCTTCCTACTCTCTCAGATTAACATGTCCTTCCTATTTATTTATATTGACACCTAGTATATAAATAAATATGGGACGTACCGTATTTTTTTCTCATTTCGGTGAATGTTCTCACTGTATTTTTTTTATTTTTTATTATCTTCCTATCTAATTTTGTCTCTGATTCTCAAAGAATTTAACAGTCATGACACACACATGCAAACATACACACACACACACACATGCATATTGTGCTCTCACTCATGCATCAGTTTCTAGCCCTGTCACTGTTACCCCTACACATTCCCATCCCCTCAACTCACTCCGTTCATGCACAGTGAAAGTTCTGCTCAGCAGTCATGTTGGAGTCCAGTGAGCGCAACTGCCCTAAATTTGATCCTGTGGCATCGCTGAGCGATGTCACCATGTGGGAAAAAGACGCTCTCCTTAAACCATTAACTGGATCGAGCTTTGTTTACCACAGCTTGTGATCACAGTTCATCCCGAGTTCAACCTAATTGTCAACAATCGACAGTGAATCCTCAATGGCTTTTTCTGTAATTTCTGTGGCTGGTTATTGAGGCCAGGGGCTGCTGAGGAGCATCTGTGATTAACAGAGCAGCCATCAGAGGGCAAGACCTTTTCCATTCTAGAATAAATCAATTCAGATTTTGTGCCCTTTCATAGCAAACGGGGGGGAAATTGGACGGGTAAAAGAAAAGAAAATCAAACCTGCGAACAGTGAGGAACAAAATAACCCCACGTGACCAATAGGGAATCAGAATCACTGACCCTTAATGTTTGTTTTTTTGGAATCACAATTTAGGAATAGATAAATCAAAGGATGATGAGGGCATCAAATTCTACTACAGGCTGAGTGTGTATGTGTATGTGTAAAAGCATGTACACACTTGTATCTCTCTGTTTATAGCATACTCCACGCCAGGCTCCACAGCTCCCAACCGGTTTGTCGGCATCGGAACACGGGACAACTTTCTGAATATCCCCCAGCAGACTCAGGTACCCTGCCAGCCTCCCTCATTTACTCAACATCCACATACCCACCTCTCCGTCCTCCTCCTGTTGTGTCTTTTTTTCTTCCTCTACGCTCATCACCCACTGCGGCCTAACTCTGCACATCGCTGTACCCGGATGCAACATGCCGGGCATCTGGGTTTAAATAGATAAGCATGTTGTTGAGTGTAAAGGCCAAGATACAGAGGCAACACTCACAATGAATTTGCTGTGGCAACACTAAATTATTCCTATGAATCTTTTGTGTAGACCTCTAATATTGTTACCCCGTAGACTGAAGTGGTCTTAAAAAAAAACGGACTACATTTTTTATATAAGAATCCCAATTTATGGTCAAGTTAGCTTTTCCTGGAGTATCTTGTAGTCTTCACCAATTTAAGAAGATTGTTTGGATTTTCGTACAGACTCATTTAAATCCTAAAACCTCTGGATTTGGAAGATTTTATTAAATGCCTGAAGACTTTATCAGGTGAAGGAGAGCGTTGCCCAGTAATCAAGGCCTTTAGTTTCAGTATTGGTTTACAGTGTCCGCATTACCGTAGATTTCCTCAGTGAAAGTCAGCAGTGCCAGTTCGTCTCAGCTCCAGCCATGTTGATTTATCACTGCAAGGCCCCACAGTGTGTATTTGTGCAGCGTGTGAGGCCAGTGGTGCAGTACATTGTGGTTTCAGCTTTGGCTGTGCTCTGCCACCGGGCTGCAGTGTCTTGGGCCTCCTCCATCACCAACACAACTTTTCTCATTAGGGGCTAACCGCACCTGCCTGCAGCCAATTCAGCCCCCCCCCCTGCCCTTCCCCACACACATGGAAACAATCTGCATTCCTCCTCGGCACAGCTCCGCTCAGCTGCCCCCCTCCTCTCTCACACCCTCAAGTGTATCAGCAGCGCACGCTCGTTCTCTCTCCTCCTGCTGCTCCCCGATGCTCCCCACCTGCACCACTCTCCCACAGATGCAGCTCTGGCACCGAGGGGGACGTCCAAATACGATCCAAATGTGTGTTAGCGCATATGCACTTATACTTTAACTCGGAGCCAAGACTCTTGCCCCCTTATTATCCCCTCTTCCAAAATAACAAATCAAGTTTTTTTTTTTTAAACAACTCGCATCTGTTCAGAATGCTTATTTTTTCTCCCACTGTTGGTTGGCGAAATGATTTTTAAAAAACGTGCGTTTTGAGCATCTCCGCCGGATTTATTCGTTCACTCGAGCCAGGAAGAGAACCTGGGCGTCGGTACCAACAACTCCCAGTTAGCTGAGCCTAGTGGGTCAGCAACAACCTCAGCCAGAGCGAGTAACAGAGGTCCCTGCCCGTCCTGCTGTTCTCTGGCATATGGCGAGGGTTCAGGCGAATGGCCCTGCCAGGCCCGCCTCGCTGCCCGATAGCTAGCCAACTAGCCAAGACAGAGGGAAACGGGTCTGCCCACTGGTGTCAGATCAACAAGCAAACAAAAGTTGGTCTGAGTGGGCTCTCTGGTGGTGAGGCCTCAACTATGCAGGAACAGAGCTGGGGAGGTAGGGGGGAGCATGTATGAAAAAAAAAAAAAAAGATGAAAAAAACAGTAAGAGGGAACAGGATGGGAAAAAAGGACAGAGGGAGTTAGTTGAAGCTCGCTGCACTCCACAGTCACGTCCCAACTGTCTGGTTGCCAGCAGCAACCAGACATGATGTCATAGGCAGTTGAACTTGGACTTGAAGGGGGGGGTGGGGGGGTAAGAGCAGGAAGGGGGGTCACTTTCCACTGCCAAGGATTACATTGAGAGAGCTCAAGTAAGAGAGGGAGGAAAAGGGAAGAGGTGACAGGGAAGTTGGATCAGGCACATGGAGGAGTTGTTCTGCAAGCACTGAAAGGAGGTAAAGTTGAAGGAAGGAGATCCCAAGATTCAAGGGGGTCGGAGCTTTTTGGGGTTTTTGTCTCAAATGTGAGGTTGGCAAAGGTGGTGGTGGTGGTTGGGAGGAAAGTAGTTTGTCGTTGAAGGTGTGGTGAGTAGCTCCCGAAACTGAAGCCTGTGGAATGTCAGAGGGAGCCAAAACAGCTCAGTCTGTGCCAAAGCCTCTACTCTGCCCCCTTATCAAACTGAGAAACTGGAACCCCGGAGTAGCTGCTTCTCAGTCGATTTACAGTGTAGCCCGAGACCACTCAGGTTCACGGAGCACAGACACACTAACGGGATCACTTTACATGGAAACTGGGTGCAAATGACAGAGCAGCTACGGTTAAACCTCACAGACTCGCACAAGAAGTTGTTTTTGTTGCTTTGTAGAGACAAAACTGTCTTATATTCAAAATGTAAGCAGGAGATATAAGTCAAAAGCACAACGTGGTAAAGTAGAAGCTGTAACTGTTTGGACACGGAATGGGACAGCGATAAGAAAAAAAAAGGTATAGGTGGCCCTCTAGTGGCTGATGGATCATTTGCCTGACCAAATGATTTCTAAAAAAAAGTCAACGTCCACGAGGCTTACAAAATATACACTAATTTCCTCTGAAAAACATATCTAAAAAATATTAATCTTCAAAGTATATGTAGTGTTTTTTCTATCCGTCCATTTTCTATCCTGCTTATTCCCAACGAGGTAATAATGTGGCATTTCCTCTGAAAAACATATCTAAAAAATATTAATCTTCAAAGTATATGTAGTGTTTTTTCTATCCGTCCATTTTCTATCCTGCTTATTCCCAACGAGGTAATAATGTGGCATGCAGGTTTTCGGACAGTGAGAGGAAGCCAGAGTAACCCAGAGAGAATCCACACAGACATAAGAGAACAATCAAACTCCACACAGATAGGTTCCGGTTCCACCGAGGATTTGAACCGGAAACCCGCGAGTTGTGAGGCGACTGTGCTAACCGCCCAACTTTTTGTGTAATTGTCCTATAGTTCTTCTAACATCAACTTGTTACCCATCATGTTTCCTGCAGCAATTTTGCGGATGTGCAATCGACTTGTTCAGCTTTAACTTTATATCTAAAAGCATGATTAAAATGTGTTTATGTGTGTGTATGATGCAGTTATGTTTTCATAATTCATAACTGTTCATACTCTTTCATACTTTATTAACATTCTCCAACTGCTGTGACTAAGTACAGCATTAAATCAACTGATTCTGAGTGAAAATCTGGTGAGACAACTAAATTTTTCTTTTTTTTTTTTACAGTCCTGGTTCCTCTGACAAGGCCTCTCTGAATCAACAGCTAAAGTTGTGTCATGAAAATTGGAAATTTGAAAAACTGCAGCTGATAAAGAACAAACTGTTGACACTAAAAAGGTCTTTCTCGCCAAACACTATTGAAAGTACTACTACAGAACCCGAAGAACCCCACAAAGGCCCCGAGAGGACCCTCCCTTCACCCCTTCAACACCATTCGAATAGGAGTGTTCGTCCCCTTTCATGCAGGAGGCTTCAATGAGATTGAGTAGACAGACTCAGAATGCAGGGAGGAGGAAAAGGAAGACGAGGAACTGTCTCACACACTTTGAAACGTCAGAAAGGAAATACGATGTAGACATCTGACAAATGACCAATTAAACATTTGTTTTTTTTTTCTTTTTTATATAAATATATATATATGATTTTTTTTTTCATTTGTTGTCACCACAATGAAACTCCATGCATTGGCTGGGAGATCCAAAAACACATTAAAAAAAAAAATACAAGTAGTGGTGAATGGTGGAGTCTGATGTGCAAAGTTTAAAGGATCGCCACCCCAAATTGCACACATCCATATCCGCGCATCTCATCCAGGTTCACATTCCCACCCACACCACGCACGCCCCCGACCCCGCCTGAAGTTCTGTGCTGCTCGGGGTCAAGACCACGGTCGGCCACCGCGCTCCTGTAGGCCGCCACGCTCCGCCGCTCGATTTCGCTCGCCCCCTGAGCCTCTTTCATTTCTGATTGGCCAATCATGGTGACACCACCGGATGGTGTGACATGTATGCACTAAGTGGCTGGTCTTTGTTTACCTGTCAAAGAATCGGAGCGTTCTGCCGTGGGAGAAATAACGATAGCCATGAGGCGAGAGCAAGAAAGTAAACACGCGACAGTCATAACACTAACTCTACATGTGCTCTTTCGTCCCCTCACCTATGCACTATTAATTTTTGATAAAGGGATGAACAGTGATGTGCTTCAATGGCCAGAGAGCTACTTGAGAAGTGAGTCGAGGCAGGCCACAACTACAGGGGTGCGGTTGTGCTAACTTTTGTCTTGGCCCTGAACTGCGCAGCACTTCCGCGTACACAAACAATCCGACACACAACCACTCATAATATCATCTTATTACTCACTGACAGTAATGCGCACGCAAATGCATCAGCATATTATTAGCTTTAATTTTGTTTGTAGGCTTTTTTTTTTGGGGTTTGTTTTTTTTTTTCTTGTTTGTTTTGTTTTCTGGATTTGGTTTTAACCTTTCTCTTGCATGTCATAACATTTTTTTTTCCTTTCAGCTTGCAGTAACTCATGAACTCACTTACAGTTTTTTTAGCAGCACGGTAACAGCAGTTTCTTGAATCTCTCCTGTATGGACAACACAGTAACAGCTCATCACACGCATCCTTTGCATTGCTTCACCATGAGAATCTAAAGGAGACCACGCCAGCAACACAAGCGCACGCACGCAACATGCACGCACGCATTTAAAAAAAAGAAAAAGCACATGAACACCACCAACAACCTGACGTAAAAATAACAAAGGGAAGCCTCTATATTTGGTTCTCCAAACTGCCTTTGTCAATGGTTTTTCATTCATTTAAGATTTGTCTTTTTAATTTGAAATATTTATGTAAATGTTCACATTCAAATGTTTTCATCATGACACAATCCGACAAAAGAAAACTGACCTCACAAAATAACTGGACTGCCTAGCTGTTGGTTCTGTTTTGCAGGGATAGTAAGGGGTGCTGAGACCCTGATCTCAGCCTCTCTAGAAACATTAACTCTATCGACTAAAACCATATATCAAGACTTTAACAATATATGGAAGTGCCTCTGTATTCCCTTCATGCAACTAGTAATAAACTTCAGGTTTCCTTCCCGCTTAAAAGCTCCTGGGAATGTTAGCGTCTGTGCATGGGTTGACCCCTTGGCCTGGGACAGATCTTTATAGAGGACCGCAACCCTTTTTTTTTTGTAAAGACAGAGAGAGATCTTATACATATATATTTATGAGATATGCTCCTTTTTAACTTTTACTACGCAGGCTTCTTGGCAGTCTAGTTATTTTCTGAACTAACATCCTCCACCCCACTCACAACCCGTTTCAGTAGCTTCACCTTACTGTTACGAATCAAACGACACACGCCATCGCCATCTGCAGCTCAGCGTTATGATACCTAGATGAACATGTCAAAAAATCGACAGTAGGTTTGAAGAAAAGTGTTTGTTTTTTGATGGAAAGTATTATTATTGAAAAATATGTGTCGATTGAGCCACGTGCAATGCATTGGGTAGATCATTGTGTTTGTCTGTTAGAGATTTTTAAGAAAGCTAAAAGAAAAGAGAAAAAAAAACTTTTTTGTTTTAAAGTCCATAAGCTCCGGGACTCTAAACTAGAGGGCCATGAAAAATCCTAGTCTTTGTAAGTTGGGGGTATTTGTTTTTATTTCCTTTGTCTCTTTTTTTAATGTTTATGTGTAATCATTTGTTTAGAAAAATGTGGGAGGGCTGAAGGAAAAAAAAATCTACACAACTTCGAAAAAAAAATCTATCATCAGATGAAAACTGGTGCTTTAACGCTATAAAGTACTTTCAGAAATATTATAAATAAACAAGATAACAGACCATTTAGGACCAGCATTATTCCTCTCTCTATTTGTATTCTTCTCTTTGTATTGATTACGGGGGAGAGGTTCCTATTCCTCAAGGTTGTGACGCAAAAGGCATTTTGGTTCAACCTTTAGAAAGAAATTAGTAGAAAATCTACTGTCGAGCCTACGCCGAAAATGTACCCATGCACTGCCTGAAAATCACCAGCAAAAGCAAATCAACCCTCCCAGTTGAAAGAATATTTTCCCCCACATTTATCAGAATAAACATATGACAAGTTCCTCCCTGCCCTGTGGGAGATGCTTCACATCCAGAAACCTTTTTATTCTCATTCTCATTACCTTATATGTGTGTGAAAACGCGAGCTTGACGAAACTCAGCCGGTCGTATTGAGACATTCAATGCTTAAATGGAGTGGGTATGACGCTGAGACCTTCTGTACAGATAACAGAAACGGAAAAAGGGGCAAAAAGTAGCTCATAATCCAGGCAAAAATTTGGGGTCTGAGCCATGAAACAGGCAGCAAGGTGAGCCTCTCCCCTGTTCCACCCCCTCTGTAAATGATTCTTATAGTGCTTGTGCTGTAGTGTATAGTTTCCCAGCAGTTAAAGGTTGTCCCTTGAAAGTGCCTTTTGTTCACAGACTCCATTTTGTAATCCAGATCGCCCCTTTTTTTTCACTTTTTTTTTTTTCTTCCCAAAATGGCTCAAAGTAGTTGGTGGCCCTGGGAGCTGCTCAGCACTCGGGGACAACTTCCTCCTCTGGCTTCGAACTGAATCCCCTCCTTTGTCCCCCCCCTTCAATCCTTTCTCCATCATCAAAGTTGTGTATCTATATGTTTATAATGGATATAGATATGCGCCTTTGTAAAGTACAAAAGGAAACTGGTGTGAATTAGTTCTTTACTTTTTATTGATAAATGACAAACAAAAAAAAATCGAAAAGGCAAAAAAACTTGTTCTCGTTCAGCTCTTGCTTTTTTCTTTTTCCTCTGTCTCCACTGTCTGTTTTCTCTTAGACACTGGAGTAGTCTGTAACTGTGTGTCCGTCACTCTCCGTCTCTTTGCGCGCTCTCTGCCGCCTTCTCTGCTGTCGAGAGAGGGAGGAGAGAGAAGGAAAAAAAAAAAAAGAAAAAAGGAAAAAAAAAAAGATATTGCCGAAAAAAACTTTTTGTCTGAGCAGAATGCAGTTAGCTCACATGTTATTCTTGTCTGTATGCTTCACATTGTATTACCATACCCATCTTCTTCAGCTTCTCCATTCAGCAGCTAATGTAAGTGAACAAATTACGCTAATGGGCTTTTGGGGGTGTCCTTGGGTGGGGTAGGAAGGGACAACGGGGGTTCAAGGGGTTTTGGCTGTAAAGAGGTTTACGAAGAAGACAAATGGGGTCAAGAGGGCTGGATGAGCTGCTTTGGGAAGTTGGTAAGGGGCTGCTCAGACTAGGATAAGAGTTTGCTCTTTTGTTTTTAGCTATTTATATTTTGGCTTTGTTTGATTCCCCTTTTTGTTTTCCTTTAATTTGGATTTCTTTTTATTACTTACTATCAGGGTATGCTGTCATTTAGGCCCTCTTTGAGGATGCCTTGGACTGTAGAATGAAAGCTACAAGCACCTTATAACCGGACTTGTCCAGCATGAGGCTGAAAGAGGAGGTTACATTTTCCTGCATAAAATCCCATATCAGTTCAGAACTAAATCTTTAAAAGTCAAGTATTCTTGTTTACGGTGAGGTTCCATAGAGTGTAACCATCAGCAGTATTAGCCATTCACAACACACACCAACCAGAGAGCACAAAGGCCAACATCAACCCCGATCCCTGTCTTGATTTAAGAGGATTCGGGAAAGTCCCTCCACTTTTTCTCCTCTGACCACCTCATGCTGGATGGCTCCGTGTCTTTTTTCTGTTGTTTATTTTGTTCTTTATATTCTTAAATGTGTATGGTTATCAGTGAAACGGACAGCGCCCCATGCCCCCCCTGATTCCCAGCTCTTCAACGCCTCTGTCTGTACGTTCAGTGCAGCACCACTTTGTTGTGAGAACACCCCCAGAGCTCTAGGTGAAATGCATGTGTTAATTACAGTTTCTTTTCCATAAGAAGAAAAACACAGTTTGAGAAGAGCAAAACCTGATTGAATAAAAAGGATGTTCTTGACTGTACCACCTTGGTTCTGTGTCGTTTATTATTATGATGCAACATCTATAAAGATGCAAAAATAATCATATTAAAATAATTACATTTTTAAAAGGTTGCTGCCAACTGACTTCCTCAACTCTCAGTATTTAGTAGCTTTTGTGCTCTTAGCCAAACCACCATCAGAGTTTTGAACACCACCTATTCGTGGGAATTTGTTGTTGTGTTTTAGAGGCTGACAAAAAACAACAACAAAAAACAAAACAAGAGGCTCTATAAGCCAACAAAAATGTCAAGGGACAAGGTGTAGTAATATAAGGCTCATATTCTAATGTACCTTGATATACACGATGAGCAAACATCCACACAAAAACATGAGAAAATGAATGAGCTTTCTGATTTTTTGAAGAATCTGAAACAGACGTGGATGTCAAATCCCTCCATGTGCATGGCCACATGCGCATGATAGATGGCACATCACAGCACCATTTATCGCAAGATGGCATTGAACCTT